GTGAAATGCTGACATCAAAATAGGATTGGGCAAATTTGTTAAGAGAATTGTGTATTTATTTGCAAATTTATACCTAAGTCACATTTGTGTTAGTCAGGTTGGTACTGACTATGTTCTTCTTAGGAATCACCTGATTCAGCAACCTAAAAAGATAGCTTTTATATACTATTTACTGAACTCTGACTTGCAGAGACATAATTTCCAGAACTCTAAAGACTGTAAAAGAAAGAGCAATATAATTGCTGGCAAAACTTGATATACCACATTTGATATACTGCTTGGGAAAAAGGTGTGCATTATCTGACCACAACATAATGTGAGCAGTCTGGCTGGCACTAACCAGGACATCCATTTTGATTGTCGGGTATACAAATTAATTTGTATACCTGAGGAGTGACTTCACTAACTGGACGATTAGAGAAAAACTAAAATAACTGCATTGTGCTTAAATATGACGAAGCTCAAGACATGACAGTATGCTATTAGAACATGTCCTCTTGTACAATAAATCAAAGTGCCTGAAATTCCATCTTTTTCTTTTGAATGAGGAGGACATTTTCTGTCAATTCTTTGTATTCAAAGGCACACATAAAACCCCCCACCAAAAATCACATATCAAGTATAAACAGGGAAGCTGATTTTAGAAAAAAAAACTATCTCTTTTGAAACTCTACTGCAAAATAATCATACTGTCTTTTTTGTTTTTCTCTTTCTGTAACTGTGGTATCAAGGTTATGAAGAAGCCTGTCACACCATGTAAGCAGAAGACACCTAAAAAGGTAAATTTAGGGAATATCCTATGGAAATTCAGATTATGTATACCTGCTGATGTAGCTAAAAAACAAGCTCATAGTATTTTGACTTGTCACTTTTACCAATTAATTGAAAGAACCTGAATAATAAATAATTTCTTAAAAAGCACTACATATTTTATTCAATTTAATCTCATTTTTTTGCAAAGAAACAATTTTTATTATTCTGCATTTCTCTTACTGTTATTTTAGATATCCACTTCTTATAGGAAGACACAAACATGCTATGTTTAAGGTAAGTATTATCAATAAACTACTAAAAGTCATCTGATCTTATGAAATATAAGGTGAAACTGTGCAGTAGTAAATATGGTTCTATTAATGCCCAGTGTCTTAAAAAAACAAGTGAAATGGATCTTGTTGGAAAGAAATTTATATGCAAACCACTCTCATGTAACCTTTTTCTAAATCATCAGATTTCTCCAGCTGTACTGCAATCTTCACCATAGCACATCAACAGAAGTAAGCTTCCTCTCTGCTCCTACTTGTTAAATTCCTGATAGTATTCAAATAAGTATTTTTAAACACATATTCTTGCTTTAGGCTGCCAATTTGCCAGCATACATTCATTAACTGGCTTTATTTAAGGCCTTTTCCAAAGAATACAAGGATTAAGCAAATAAAGTACACTCACAGAATATGTGATATTGAGAGTTTTCACAAAAATACAATATTTAAACTATGTCTTGACAACTGTTATTAAAAAGAATTACAATGAAAGCAAGGTCCTGTTACCATAGATGGCATTATCTGACTGACACTGAACTTAAACCAGCAAATATCCTTTTCTCAACTCTTGTTAGAGAACAAAAGCTTAAAAATCACCAAAGTTATATGCAAAAATGAAATACAATGATTCATAGATCCATACCATATTATTCCTTTTGATATCCAAAGCACAAATGAAGCGCCTTTCCTCTGCATTTCAGAGCCACCGCCTTGGTTTACTGATAAGCAGTAAGACTTACACTTTTGAACCAACGCTTATCATTTGAGAAAGCCTTTAAAGCAGATTTCATTACATTTCATCAAAACTTTACCTAAGGCGCACACACACATTTCAGAAAATTAAGCTCAGTCAATATTTGCTCAACTGTTGTCAGCAAGATGACAAAAAACCCCTCTCGCTTTAACTGGCCCAACGCCGAACAATATATAAGACTAAGATGTTTTAAAAGACAGCTTATTAAAAAATTAACATACCATAGGGAAACTGCTTTTTGATTGTATGACCTTACTGTGATTCAGCCTGAAAATCCTTCCAAATGAGAATTCTCAAAGAGCTTAGTAATGGAAGTTCATTTCGAAGGAAATCCAATATGCAAATATTACAGCTGTGCTCTTTTACAAATTATCTGCCTTGTTTCAAAAACTGAAAACCAACAATGGAACAGTGCAAGTATACTTGACCTTACTGCTTAATGTCTATTAAGAAGGCTATGGCTGGTGGATTTTAAATTTTTGAAACCGATGCTCGAGGATGTATGATGCATCTTCAGCCCATGTCCCATAAATGCTGACTATACTCCAGCCAAAGCCTTGGAGCTGACACATTCTCCAACTTACATAACACTTACAAAGCTAGTTTAAATACACCATCAATCTATGTCTGCCTCTGCCTTGTAGAAATCCTGTTTAGTTTATCTTTTAACCCTACACTTGCATGGAACAGTACCATTACTAATCTAATAGAAAAAACACACAGGCAACAAATCTGATTTTCTCAGCTTACAGAAAATATGAAGTGCAGAAGACACACAAATCCAACTTTGCCCAAAATTTGCACCTCCTGAGTCATGTTCATCCCATCTCCCATAGTAATCAAGAAAGCAGAGACACTGGACACAATACAGGACTGGGGAAGCAGATGAAGTGGGGTAAAAAATGAAAATTAGTAACATGCAATTTGTACCCACCTCCCAAAAAACTGCAATCTCATTTATTAGTAAGGAATGAATTACTGGCATCTTTGCTTTTGACATTATGTACCTGTGTAAAAAATGTCTGGTGAAAGTGAGCATATGCCATGCACTGGTATCTGCTCTATGAGAGCAGTTTATACAGGCCCCTAGTGGCTCAGTACACACAGCAGCAGATGAAGAGGAATTCCTAGTCTTCAGCTTGTGTAGTTTTGGTCCCTGCATTCCTCAAACGTAGAAGCAAAACGCAATGTTAAAAATGAAAGATGAATCGCTGACCGGACTTAAATCTTCAGATACTTAGTTCTTTACCTCATCCCCAGGTGCATTCTTGCACAGCCTCTCCTAAGATTAGGCACTGATTTACTAACACCCATTGAGTTCGCTGACTGCTGGTGGTTTGAGTTACATAACCATCACAGCACAACGCTTATTCACATTATTCTTTAGCGCTCGTTTTAAAAGTAGTATGACTGACAGGTCTAAAAGCAGGTCCTATGACAAATTCCTGAAATCTAGAAATACCAAAGTATCATTTTCCATACCATGCTTACCATTCCTAAGAGCTTGCCATAGCATACACAAACTATAATGAATTTCTTAGGATCTTCTTAGAGTAGAAGACTTCTACTAAGACAAAGCTTTTACTGCTTTAAGTGGATACAGAAAAGCTATACATCATTTCTGTGCTGAAAGATATCTAAATATACCCCACCATATTAACGCAAGTGACAAAACTAAAATTGGAAAACTACTCATGTAAAAAGTATCTCATTAAATCCATTCTTTCTGTGTAACACCCGGTACCTTAAAAATCCCTTGCCAGTATATTTACAGCTTTTAGCAATTTTGACTGAGTGAAATTTGACAGCTGAATTTATTAAACTGACCAGTTTGTCAATTTCACACATTAAAAAGCAGTAATAGCTCATCTCATGAGAGGGAATTTAAAGAAGCAATCAAAAAATTGCCTACTAAAGTAAGATGCAAGTACATATGATCCTATTTAGGACAGGGGAGAATCTTTTTTTTTTTTTTTTTCTTCAGAGTTGCTCCATTCATAACAAGAATTGTAGGATTCGTTGCTCACAGCCCAGGAGAAAATGATGTCATTTACTACACACTTTTACAGCAAGAAAAGAAAGTACTGACTGTTACAACATTTTAAACCACTAGCAGATACCAGAAGAAGGAAAAATATGATACATACATTTTTCCATCTCTGTATTGAGATTTCCAATAATGTCCCAATATTACAGAGAAGTTGCTTGTGCTTGAACAAAAGGTCTGTTGGAAGCAATCTCTGAAAGGCTGAGAAGACAAACATAGCTTCCCACATTAATCCTAAATTTAAGAGAATATAAGTGTCATCACAAATACTCTGTAAATAGGAAACTCAAAAGTCAATCAGCATCTACACACTTATCCCCAACATAACGCCATCTCAGGCGACAAGTGAAGGAATACATAAAACCCTAACTATTCTTTGTAAATAAATTAACCCTTCTACGTGTGCCAAAACTGAGAATATGGACATCGAAATCACTGTAAAGAAGCTGCATTCCTTACACGAGGCAGTAATTGTACAAAGGCCAAGCAAAAGAATAAAATAAGCATGACAGGAGTTCTGGAGAAGTAACAAGGAGAAGTGGGCATTCAAAAGCCATACATGCAAAGCTGAGTGGTAATCACTTAAAATTGGAAGAATACCGTTCTGTCGAGAACAGATAATAGGCAAAATAGGGAATTCCGTGCAAGGAAACAACTGCTTAAGGAAACAACAGTCTGGGAGAGCCCGGTTGCAGCAGTAAGGAGTGCCTCCTTGCACGGGCAGACGGCGCAGAGGGTGCTGCTAAGTTTGCTGAACAAATTCAAGAACCCCTTTGCAAGCGCTCAGAAAACTGAGTTTTCAGCCCGATGTGCTTCCTTTCAAGTGGTTTCGCGAGAGTAAACAAAGAAATTAAAAGCCTAACCTGTGAAAATCTTCGCATCCCCGTGCCTTCCCGCTCCGCCGAGAGACAGCAGGAGGAGGAAGAGGAGGAGGAGGAGGAGAACGAGGAGAAGGAGGAGGAGGAGAAGGAAGAGGGAGCCGTGTTCGGAACCGGCGCCCGGGGTCCCTACTGGCCGCTCGCCCCCAAGCCCCGTCTCCAGTAGCAGATGCCTGGTCTCTCACCCCTGCTACCGTCCCCCATCTCCGAACCCGTTGGAATAAACAAAATATTAATATTAATAATTCGTTCGCCAAAGCAAACAGACAGTGTGTAATTACCGTACTCCCCTCTCCCCGCCCGCGCACAGCGGCACTCAGTGGAAACGTCGACTCTGATCCATCAATCGCCTTCTCCCTGCCCCATCCCCCGTCCCCGTACCGCAGCTCCCCTCACTCCCTGAGCAGGCCTCGCCGCCAGGCTGAGACCCGGCGGGGAAGCGCGGGGAGCGGGCTGGAAGCTGCCGGGGGGAAGCCCTGGGGCACCCACGGGAGAGTTGTGCGTGAGGGACATGTGTGCGGGCTGCGCGCACACACACACACGCACACTTCTGTGCTCGCACACACAAGCGCGCCCAGAGAGGCGGCGAAGAGGGAGCGGCGGCGGAGGAAAAATGGGTCAGAAGCGGGGCAGTTACCTGGTCATGCTGGCTCCCCCGGTCCCAGCAGCAGCCTTCGCCGCTGCTCGCCCGCCTGCCGCTGCTTCCCGCCGCCGCCGCCACCTCCCCCCGCTGCTCCCGGTCGGCTCCGGGGCGGCCAATTTAATCCGAGCCCCGCTGCAGCAGCAGCAGCAGCTACGAGCGAAGCCCCGCCGCTGCTGCCTGACGCTCGTGCGTGTCTCTCACAGTGCGGCGCCGGGGAGTAGGAGAGAGTCAACGAGAGTCCGAAAATCCAGCATCCAGAAGAGCCAGGTCCCCGCCTGCCTCCTCTTGCCAGCGCCGCCTCTCCTCCGCGCTGCTCTGCTCCGCTCTGCTCTTCTCTTCTCCTTCCTGCAGCGGCTGCTGCTGCTCCCGGGCGCGCTCTCTGTTCCCCAGCTAGCTGCTCCGTTTCCCCTCCTCCTCCTCCTCCTCTCTCTCTCTTGCTCTCTCCCTCTCTCTCTTTCTTCCTTCCCCCTTCACTCTTTTTTTTTTTTTTTTTTAATTTCCTCTCCTTCGTCCTTTTCTTTTCTTTTCTTCCTTCGTCTTTTCTAACCGATCTTTTGCTACAAATAAAAGCGAGGTCTCCCACCCACTCTCCCGCCCCCCCGTGCTACAAAAAGTGCAGTGCAAACAAAAGCGAGAGAAGAGGGCACAGGGCGGGCGGAGTGGGGAGGGCAGATAGGGGTAAAAAAAAATCCCAGAAACCGTGCCCGAGAGTCGAAACGTGAAAATCCCTCCCCCACAACTCCGCTTTGCTCCTCTGGGGAACAAGGGGGACGCCGTGGGGACACTGGTAGAGACGGCGCTCTCCCGTTTTGCTGTGGGCTTTAGGTTGGATGGCTGTTTGCGCTTTTGTCTGTGTGTGTGTGTGTGTGTGTGTGTGTGTGTGTGTGTGTGTGCTTTTGCCTTTTTTTTTTTTTTTTTTTTGGGTTGTGGGTTTTTGTGATTATTCTTTTTTAATCCTCTTACGCCGTGCGGCTCACAGGACCCGCACAGCCCCGAGCCCCGGGGGCAGCGTGCTGCCGCTGTCCGTGCCTGTGCGTCTGAGGGCAGGGCGGGGGGGCACGGGGCGACCCCATCCCGGGCCGCGCGCCGGCCGGCCAGCAGCGCCGCGCGCCGCACGCACACCCGCGCGCCGCCGGGCGCCGGGGACGGGGCGCTGACGTCACAGGGAGCGGGCCGGGGAGGGCGGCGGGCAGCGCGGCGGAACTTCCCTGGGCCTGCGCCGCGCCCGCCGCGCCGAACTTCGTGCGCGCCTCCGCGGACAGATGGGTAAACCCACAGGGTGGTACCAGACCTGCCGGTCCGCAGGGGTGTCCCACAGGGACGGCGTGGCAGAGCGGTATTTTAGTAGCAGTCGTCTTTGTGTGTGGCATATCTCACGTTTTCTTTCCTGGTGAATGGTCAGGTTCCATGCGGAGTGACACCACATGTTGCTTGGCACGGTCGGTGGCGTAACATTGGGCTGGAACAGGGTCCATCCCGACTCTTCTTAACCTTCTGTCCAGTCCCCTGCAGAGAAGGAACATAGGTGGAAATAGCAGGGTGAAGAGTGCTGTGGAATATGTCATTGTGGGCTTATAGGCGTCTTTGGAAGCCTGGAAGATACACCCCCTGTGACTCGGGTCATGCTGTGTAAAATGGGCAGAGTCTCAGTATAAACGCAGTTAGTGTTAGTGAGGCGTTATAGCGGCGGGAGCCCATTAATGCTGATGCTGAAAAAGTTGGCTTTCCTGGAATAGGAATGGTGGAATGAAGCTCCGGCTGCACTGCTGGCTCAGTGGCGCTTCTTGTCCCGAGTTCCATACCGGCTGGCTGCAGCTCCATCAAGCTGTGTTGCTCCTGATTCTTCTGAAGTCAGTCTTGTTGGCACCTGCTAAGCTCATTGCAGGTCATTGCTCCTTTTCTGCAGAGGAGAATGATTTGGGTGTTTTCTATCATATAATCGTGTTTTATCATCCTCTGGAAGCTAGTGCTGCCAGCATGAAGGCTGACAAAAGTGAAAATAAACTTTGTTCTCCACAAGTCCCATAAATTGCTGTCTTCTTTTGATGTTGCCAGTTACACCATAAAAAATGGTCACCCAAATAATCTCACACTTAAAAGAACACTAATGCTTTCCAAACAGTATCTTTCAAAATACCAGGTAACCTTGTACAATAACTACTTTGTATGAAAAGGTAAATATATGAAATGTGGCACAGATGATTACTTTTTATCTACTCAAAGAGAACGAACTGTTCTATAAAAGACTAGCTTTTCAACAAGCAACAGTGTCTTCAAAGTACAACACAAATCAAAAGCTGGGAAAAATGCTACTTGGTCTTTATTGCAACAAATGTTGTTAAAGAAAGCAAGACTTAAATCATCACCTTTGGCCCCTTGACTGAAATGGCTTCAAGGGTATATTTGCTTTGAAATGGCAACGCTACATAGATATTTTAGGTCTTAATGTTATGTCCCAGCAGTTCATAGGAATAACTTAGCTGTTTTAGTGCTCTTCATGCTGTGATCTTTGCATGACATTGAAGGGCTGAGCAATAAACTCATGTATTTTGTATTTTTTACATGGTATCACAACATGGATGTGAGATTTGAGGACTACACTTAGCTTTGCTTTTTTTTAGAGTCATAAGCAGGTTGTGTAATTCTTCCTTTAGTTCAGTCAGTCTGAAATAAATGTATCACATTAGGAATAAATACATTTCTTTTTATAAAAAAATTAAAACCAGATCTCATTATTTAGAAGATGTTTTGTAGTGATGCCGAAGGAAAAAAAAAAAAAAAAGATAAGAAATTACCCTAAATTAATGAAGAAGCATTAAAACACTGTATATTTCTGCTGCTGTATTGCGTATCAGCTTTTGCTATCAATAGCATAGATTTTGTATTTAAGATGGTAGTGTATACATACACATACATTAACCTGTATATGTGGTCTGTTAATATTCCTTTAACATTCCTTTCCTTCTAAGAGCAAATAACACAATGAGAAGCTTAATTCATGTGTTACAAACTACTCATTAAGGCAGATTTTTTCCCCAAACTTAAAAAAAATTCAAACACAGCATTCTATACTAGTGTTTTATTTCTGCCAAGATTGCAGCAGTATGTTACTCTATGGTTAGTACATCACTGAACTGGAAATACATCTACACACTCTAAACTTTGAAATGGTTCCTGTAAAATACTTAATGATCTCTAAGATAGTACTTAAACAGGACTTGGAAGATAGAAATGTTGGTGAGTTTTTTGGGTTTTTTTTCTGGGGGTTTCAGGGTGGAAGAAAGATTTTTTAATTTGGAAATAAGTATCATGTATTCCCTTAGAGGTTTTCAAAAAAAAAAATATACATCTCTGTCATGTCATCCCAGATTAAATGTTCAATTCTCATTCTTCCTGCTCATGCAGCTGTTTCCAGTCTTCTCATGGAGACTGCACACCAGCAGTGAAAATCTTATGTGAAGTGCAAGATATGAGTGCAGGTTTAAATCTCAAAAAATGCAGCAAAGGAGGAAGCAAAATGAGTAAGCTTGCCTGCTGTTCGTCTGAATACTTACCTGTGACCATATTCTTGAGTAACTTCTACCATACATCTTCAAAAGGTCATCTTTAGACCTTAATGTATCAGGCTTGTGAATTTAATGTATTAAATAGTACTCTGTTCATAGTGGGCAGTGTTATTTTTGTTTCATCTGTTCTGCCTTTTGTTATTGCTTTCTATTCCTGATAAATAGCATCCCACAAAGCTCTTTAACACAGATATTCCATTAACAACTGGAACCAGTGGCCATTGGTTCAGTACACAGCAAAATCAGGAAGGCAAGGGGGAATAGGAGAAGTTGCTCTACAGCCTCTCCCTTTTTTTTCCATATTACATTATGATAGCCGTATTTTACAGTTATTTATGATTAACGTATGGCAAGCTGTCGGCTGAAATCTAACAGGTGATTTGTCATAAAACTGCATTAATACGTATTTTAGGCATTGACTTGCAAAATGATTATGAGAAATGTTCCTCAGTTGCCATACTGATATTTGGAAATTCTCACTTTTAGACCACAGATACTTTAAGCTCCTATTGTTAAGGTTAATAAAAGACTACTAGACAAGTAAACACATGTTATCTATATGCAAAAATTTATTCTGCTAATTCAGTTTGTGCACACATCTTTTAAGAGCTGATTTAGTATCTCACTAGACTCTGTCAGTAGTTGTCTTTATTTTGTAAATATTTTTGATTCATATGTATCTAACTTATGAAACTTCACTACTTAGAGACAAAGGTATGGAGAGAAAAGCAATTTTCAGTGCAGCTCTTTATGATAATTTTTGCCGCATCTGCTATTTTTTTTCCATGCTGAAGGAAATTAAACTTTTTACACTTGTGTGATCCGCCTGGTGCCCAAACAACTTCTGCATGTGCCAGCAGATTCCAAATCCATTGCAAGGCGTTCAGTTCTCTTATCCTACAGGTCTTAAGCCCCGTTCTAATTTCTCCTCTTTAGAAATAGAAGTTAGAAAGATGAGGGAGATGAGCAGGCTGGTTCTAAAACTTGTCCCAGCTTATTAATTGGTGTGACTGAACCACAGACCTAAACCATAAGGTCTACCATAGCCCCAGAATAGCATGGTGGTGGAATAAGGTGATACAGCACATTAACTCGAAGCAAATTAAGCTTAATTGTTTCTTCAGAGAAGAAGTAGCTCTTTGGGGCTTTTTTTGGTTGTGTTTTGGGGTTTTTTTGGGGGTTTTTTTAAGTGGAAAGAGCAAGAGGCCAGTAATTAATCACAGGGCAAATGGAAATCTCCAGGGGCTTGGGGATGATGAAGTTTTGAGGATTAGCTTTGTCAAAGCACACTAGAGTGTGTGCCACAAACTGAAAATAAACAGCAGCTTGTGTAGGGAAACCTGTAAATAAGATTTGTAGATGGGGAGGCAGCTTTGTCTTTTATTTCTGTACTAT